TCTTTTAATTCTGGAACTACAGTCTTGACAGTAAAAAAAAACAGTTTGAAATGTCCACAACACACGTCAGTCTCTCAAAGTCATTTCATCTGGTTATATATTTCTACTGTGTTGAGGTTATTGTAAGCAACAGCTCAACAGTTCTTCACTTTGATATATTTGTGCGACACAAATGCATGAACCGAATGCATGAGCCAAATGCATGAACCAAATGCATGAACCAAATGCATGAACCAAATGCATGCATTTCCACTGGGTGGTGCAGTTGCATTGAATAAAGTAGCAAGAGTCAGGTAAGTAGTCAAATCCAGGTTAAATTGCAAGAAGGTTATTGTGTACAGTTTCATTCCCACCCTGGTTGTCTGGGTGAGCTCTCGCCGCCTTTCCACGGGTGTTTTGGCCCCTCCCCAAGCAGGGCAGGGACCTCTTCAGCTCCAACCGAGCGTCAGTGCACAGGAAGATGTAGAAGAGGGGGTCCAGAAGGGTGTTAAGGCTGGTCAGGCCGTAGCACAGACGATAGATGAGGAAAATGGAACGCTCCAATCCACACGGTTCATCCGTCAGCAGCAAGGACACAAACCTGTATCCACCCACGAGGTGGTAAGGCCCAAAGACGACGATGAAGTTGACTGTGATGACGACCAGGATGCCCACGATTTTGTGGCGCTCGTGGTCTGACAGAGAAGGGGAACGCTGGAGTGTGACCCCGATGTGGGCTGAGGTGTAGCTGAGGGAGGGAGCAGAGATCAAGATCAGAAACTCAGCCTGTTCCTCAGAATATACAAAATTTGTAATTCAGTATTACAAGGATTTCCCTGATGTTCCTCTATCACTCAGTTTAACCCTTATTCTACACATTTCCAAGTTTTTTAATGTTTTATTTCAAATTTGAATCTGTTTCCCCTTTGCTGACCCAAAATGTGACAATTTAGATAATTTGACCACAGGAACTTTAATTGAGCTTGTATAACATCTAGGATAAAGTAGGAATATCCTTGGACTTGGTGTCCACTCACCCTAGGATGGAACATGGCAGCAGAAAACCAAGGACCACAGTGGTGATCTTGAAGTGGGCATATCTGGGACTGACGGGGTACTGCTCCAGACACAGCAGTCTGTCAGAGTCAAACACAGATGGCAGCAGCCCGCTCAGGCAGAACAGGAAGGTGAGGGTCCAGACTGCCACTCCGGACACTGCTGCCACCCGGACACTCCGCACCCTGCGGCTGCTCAGTGGGTAAACAATTGCCAGGCAGCGGTCCAGCGCTATTAGGCATAAGAACATGACACTGGCGTAGACGTTCACATAGAACACGTAACCGACCAGTTCGCAGGTCAATTGGCCGTAGGGCCAGCGGTGCTCGCCCTGGAGGTAGAGGATCCACAGTGGCAGGGTGAGCAGTTGGAGGAGGTCTGACAGCAGCAGGTTGAGGATGTAGACCAGCTGGCAGCCTCCTCCGCCTGAGCGACCCAGTTGGTACAGTCCCCAGAGCGACAGCAGGTTGCTTGGGAGACCCAAAGAGAAGATGAGGCCGTAGATACAGGTCAGGCCGAATGTGTCTGTGTTCAAGGGGAGGTTGCAGCTGTCGTTGGACATGTCTCTGACGGTCAAATACCTGACATGGGAAATGAGTAGATGCCTCACTCAGATGTGAATGGATGCTTGCAAGAAGATGAGTTGGTGTAGAAACACCCATTCATTCACTAGAAGCACAAATCTACTTGTTTTGTGTCCATTGTTCAAAATTCATAAATGCATTCTCCCATGGAGAAGGTCAGGCTCAGATTTTGTACTGTCAGTCATCCAGGCCTCAAAGCATCCAGGATCCATCAGGGGAAACACCTGCACATAAGACAGAATGCACGTTTCCAAGTGATTTACTATCAGCAGGTACCTGAGGGTCATTATATAAACCTCACAATACAAATCAAGAGTTTTTACTCACCGTTCTCAGCTGAGAGACCCACTCTGTTCAACTGAGGCTCACCACCCGCTCTGCAGACTGGTGACCTGTGTTCAAGAAATGTTGGGAACACGGTGTCTCGCCTGAGCCTCGTCCATTCTGTGAACGTTTCCTCCTCAGGAAACCCACTTCTCCAGCTTTAAAGGCAACATCCTGAGGCAGGAGAACGCCTTTCTGGCCCAGAACAAAAACACACACTCTCTCTTTCTCTTTGTGTCTCCTGCTCTCTCCTATCAGCGGTTGACACAATGATTGAGATGGTCGAGGGCTGCAAGGGAGGAGTGAATGTGGGGTGTCCACTAATGCCCTTTAGATTGTTGCTGGCCATGTGCCATTAAACACATTAAACTCTCTGCTATATGATTTCTTCAAACATGCTGTTTACATGGTGGAAGTATGCAGAGGTTTCATTTGGCAGCTTGGATGTGTTTTACAACACAGCAGGGAGTAAGGCTTTCCTTCCTGTGTTGGACATCTTATTGAATGGGTGTGTGTGTGTGTGTGTGTGTGT